TATATATTTTTTTATTTATTTATCTATATATTTATATAGTTATATATTTATCTATATTAATTTATTAAAATTCCTTATTTACTATATTAGTCTGAGAATCGAAGATATATTAAATTATGAAATCAAAATTATTCGCCGGATTTATTGAATATATAAGAATAAGAATGAATTGAAATATCAAAAATCAGAGCGACATATATATTATATATATATATATTCATGTATAATCAGATATTATATATTATAGCCATCCGGATCTTTCTAATAATTTTAGCAAATTATCTATTTTATCTATTCAGAGATGTGTTCCAGATTTTCGTCTATTCTTGATTCTTGGGCCATATATATATATATATATACCAGCAGATGATAATTTTTTTCGTTGTATAGATTGGCACTCGCCGCGAGTAGTTTCGAAAATTTTATAATTGCAAGTCAAACTGGCCATCACCTGCCCTCAGGGCACCGCCAGGAGATCCCTGCAGAAAAGTTGTAGCGGCTCCAGCCCTACGCAGTTATCACCAGAAGATGTTTGGGCGCAGGCAAGCGGAGCAGAATGGAGCCGCGATTTCGGTACTTGCGAGCTTGCTTCAACCGCCATTTCAAGCACAATCCAGTGGGCCTTGATCTTAGGATGTCTTGACGTCCAAAAACTTGGCTCCACGACTCTTCAGTGTCAATCCGAGCAATCCTGTCACGCAGGAGTACACGGATGCATCAAACGAAATGAAATCTCCATCAATGCGATGGACCCTAAAATGATGTATGGTGAGGTGTTTGCAAACATGTGATTTCAAAGACGACAAGGCCTGCGATGCTCAGTTCATGCAACCACCTCACGCTGTCGAAGTGACTGACTGGACCAGAGTTCTGGTTGCATAAGCATAACCATTGTGCCATCATGTGCCATCGTTTCAGACCGAAGAGTTCTTGCCTTTTTTGAAGTTTCTGAGTGCACAGAAGAAAGACGATGGAAGTGTGGCACAGTTTGGGATCGGGAGCTCTGCGTTGCTTAAACACTGTACGGTCACTGTACCGTCACATCGCAAAAATGCGTGATGACTACACATGTCTTCACCAAGCAGGCATGCCACAAAACTGATGCACTTCTTATGAATGTCTGTGCATCACTGCATGATACTGCATTCCTGCTTGGGCCTCAAATGAGCCACAGGGACCGAAGGGATACCTGTATATGCAATAACTTAAAGACGAAATGTAAATTCATGCCATCAGCTCATCAAGCAGTCAAATACGGCGATGGCACAGACCTGCACACATCGGAAGAGGAAGCCGTTCACTCACTCGCCACTGATGGCTGAGACTCCAGCTCCAGCAGCTGCCAATCGACCAAGTCCGAGCTCTTCACATTTGAAACCTCCAGGTCTCTCGTGCGCAGAGGAAATGCTTGCGGCTCATGAAACAAGGACAGACTCGAGCATCACTTTGACCGACCTCCGGGCAATCCTCCTCCATCCTGGACATGCGATTAGCTGTTAGCAAGCTGCACAAAGATTCCGGGCATGGTGCTCTGTGCAAAAAGCCATGTGAGGACTGGACATTGACCTCGAAGCCTCCCACAGGGTCTTCCAGTAGGCTTCTTCGGCCAAAGCTGGCTGCGGTTTGCTAGGAGCGAAAGCGACCTCAGAGCGAAAGCACTGCCCAGCTCCCCAACTAGCCTGGGCTGAGTCCCGCCTCCATCGCTTCAGGGGGATCATCGTCTTCCCCGACCCCGGACAACATCGCCTCAAAGGGGGACATCAAACCTCATCAAATACTGTCCACGACAAGCTGCATGGCCATAAGCTGCAACAGCGCCGTTTGAGACAAAATCTCGGAGTGCACAGTGCCCTCCGATGTGTCTCTACACGCAACTGGGCATTCAACCACACTGCGATGGCATATCTGAACGAAAGTCGTCCAAGAAGCCCCGACAAAATGTGCAGAGCTAGAAGGATCAGGGCACCTTCAGCCTCCTCGACCGTGCTGCGGCGTCCTTGCGCCTTTTGCCAACATCGCCTGTTTTGTCAGGGACAGCGGCGAAGCCCTACTCACGGTCTGAGGCCCTGACTTTGAGAGGCATGATCCTGCAGCGCAGCTGCGGTGCAGCGTTAACTAACTGCCAGGTGCAGTTTCTCTCGGCCTTGACGGCTACTGCACTCTCATCACCCAAAAGGATGTTGACGACTGCTTTGTGCTTCCGGTCAAAATTCACGTCGTAGGTGCAAGCCTTTCTCACCTAGCGGCGAATGCTTGATGGGAAGTAGGAGTCGGGCCTCATTGCTCCATGTCACTTGCAGTGTAAGATAGCACGCCTTTAACTGTCTGGATTCTTGGTCAGACGCTTCTCGCAGAGTCCTTGCACTCGATCCGCTAAATCATGGCTTTACCTGCGACCTTTGGTGGGCAATCTCAAGCGAAGCTCCTCGTGCTCTCTGTGCTCAAGTTCTGATCCTCAGAAACCTACGAGAACATGAACATCAGCAGCGTGAAAATATTCATCCGCGCATTTGAATTCAGACGAGCGTACCTCCATGTCCTCCACTGCGTCCAAGTGCGAACTACCTGCACCAGGGGTAGAGCAGCGAAGCTATGCGCAGACTTCGCTGGCAGGGTGTTTGCCACTTCTCGATTCTCTCCGAACTGCCCCAAGCTTAGCTAGAAGACCATAGCTCCGAGGTGCTGAAGAGTAACATGCAACGGGCCATGGAAATAGCTGTCATCCATTTACATCACAGCATGAACGCGAAGAGACCATAACCGATCCTGGTCAGAAATGCATAGTAATTGGCAACTAGATAAATCGACTTCCAAGACCTCGACTTGGTCATTCTTGATCGAAACAGTGCTACATGCGAACCATTAGGGCTGCCTTCCGTGTATGGCCGAAGAACTTTGGCCAGCAAGGATGTTCTCATGTGCGAGGATGCTGGCCTGCAAGCCGTGCAACAGAGCAGTGCAGTGATGTTTGATGAGACTGTCAAGGCACCGTCTCTTTCGATTCCCCTGCTTCCGATGGTCTCGATGTACGGAGACGCAGAAGAAACTTTGGGGTCTACAGCAACGACGCTCGATCAGGAGTGGTATCTCGCATGCTGCCGGGTTGGCATTCGCAGAAACTCTCTCCAATCTGTGTCCAACCCGAAGCCCATAGAAAGAATCCTGCAGAGGTTGCTCGCATTGACAGATGGCCTGCAGTCTGCTTCTGCACTGGAAAGAACACTGGCGCCACCACTACCTGACTGGGCGAGTACTGTGAAAAGACAATTCTTCTCTGTCGGGACCGGAACTGCATCAGTCCTGCTTTTTTCCACGGCGATTCACCACGACAGACAGACGAACGGACAGACAGTCGGACGGACGGAAGGACAAACAAGAAGACGGACAGACTAAACGTACATACACCTGCCTGGTTCTCCGTTCGAGCTGAGCAAATCATGGACTCGGCCTTCGTAGCACTTGCTGCGGAATCTGTGACAGAGCAACAACTGCTCCAGGTGCTACTGAGTTGCGTCCGTCTTCTCCCCCACCTCGCGTACACACAACGTAATTAGGATGGACGCCAGGAAGTGCTGAAATACTTGGCAAGGCTTTAGAAAGATGCGAAAAAAAACATGCAACCCAGCTGCTCGTTAATGGTCTCGGGCGCGGCGAGACCAAACTGACGGAGTTGTCGCTGGCACTGTCAGGTCGAACAACAGCTGGAACATCGACTGCCCCATCAACGCCTGGAGAATGCAAACATGTTATGTTACATTGTCGGTTTAGACTATGACCAACCTGAGATGACATCTGAGCCCACCACTGAGAGCACCCTTCTTCCTAGAAGCAAAGGGCAGGATGACTTGACGTGGGGGCATGCCCAGAACAAGGCTCGACCCCTGCCTTCCAGTCCCACGAACGTCTTCGGAAATTTTTGGCAAGCCGGCGGGGACAGCGCCTTGAACGGACTGGACCCGTCGTTTGCCTGAACACAAGCAACTTCTCGCATTCAATTGACTTAATTGAATCAAGCAATCTGCAGCATCGATAGGGTTGCTGGCCGAGCTGTTTCTGAAGTCACATGTCACCACAGGCTCTCGACAGGCTTTGCTGCCTGCTCAGTGCTTGAGGCAGTTTGGCCTTCTTGCAATTGTCTCATTGCCCCGCTCATGTAAGTATCCGAAACCGGGAAACTAAGAGTTCCGCGACATTCGACCGAATCTCTGCGAGGTATCAAGTTTCCGCAGAGCCCTTCGTCGTCGCCAGCACCCTCCGTACCACCGGCACCTGGGCAACCGAGCAAGGACCATGAAGATGGGAAATCAAAGATGGAGGCGAAGGATTGAAATCGATGCTTTCAGCTCGTGGTCAGATGCTGTCTTTGCCACCGCTCTGTGCTTTCTTTTGTACTCGGAGAAGGCCATCGGGAAGCTTGAGCTGCGACGTACGGGTAAGATGGTCTCCATCGAAGCTTGCATTCCCATGCATGAATGAAGCGGTTGGAAGAGTGCAGAAACTTGAGGGAAGCCGTTGGCTACCGATTGCAGGCATCCCAGACCCGAGGTCATCTGTTCTCGGGAGATCCCTCTCGTGAGATCATCCGCACATGCACGGTGTCTTGAGCCGACGCAGGGCCCTCTCTCCAGCGAGAAGACCACTTTCATCCACCGTCGCGGTGGTCACGGTGGGTGGAGTGAGTGCTTGGTCCAGCGCTCTGTTGGGATTCAACTTGGTGGGATACTCGTCCTGTCAACTTCATCCGGTGCCCATCCGAGCGATGGGGCCCCGTGAAGCGGTTCACGAAGCTTTGCGATTGACTCGCTTTTCATCTTCGCACTCTCTACCTTTCGTGCTGGTTCGGTTGGAAGAGGTCCGGAGGGTTTCCATGGAGTTTCCGACGAACGTCCTAAGCCCCTTGAAACTGGGTTTCAACGAACGCGGCAGCCGACCCTTCCAGCGAATTGCGTTGGCCTGCTGGCATCACTGAGCAGAGTGGACATGCTGGCCGAACTCGGGACCTCTGACCAGCACTGGTGCTGAAGATCCGGAACCTGGAGCCAGCAGGGTTGCCCCTTCTCATCTTCTGATGTTACAAGCCACGCCCGGAATTGGTGACAACGTCGAGGATGCTGGTTGGCACTTGGTCGCGCACACAGGACGTTACCTTCAGCTTGGTTCTGCAAGGTGTGTCTCATCTCTGCTGTTGTCGTCGCAGAAGGAGAGCGACTGCAGTCTTCCTGTGCCGTATCCATGGGGCAGCAAGACAAACAGAAACCAGAGAAAAACACAAAGCGCACCCCCACCCCGGCATGAACATCCGTACCACACGCATCGAGTTCCACGGCTACCTCCCCGACCCTCCACAGCATCCGCGAGAGGAGGTACTGTGTCATGTTCATGCAGCCTTGCCCCTACGACAACAGGCCTGACTGAATGTGCAAGCACACACGCTCATGCATTACGACCATCACGTTTCTGTTTTTGCTGCGGTGCCTGAACCCTCGTCCTTGCTGCGGCGGGAACCTGTCCGCATGCGGCAAGGCATCGACAGGCCAATCGGACGAAATTCTGACAGCCGCCTCGAGAGAGATACGAATCTCCTCGACACGACAGAGAAGAAAGCTCGCACCACATTTCGACACGCCCCCTTCTCAAATGTGAGGTTTAGAACATGCCAATGTATCCAGGCACTGCTCCTGAGATCAAGTCGCTCGGGGTGCCTGAGTGCAGCAAATGGCACCAGCAAGCCTTGCAAACCGTTGCCCACTCACCACTGTCAGTGTTTTGACGTAACGAATGCTGCTAGACCAAGGCTTTCTGGAAACTCGTAGGCGACATTGAATGACTTCAGGTTCAGCAGGCCTGCACGCCCACGGGGGGTATCACCAGCAGAGGCCACCCCGGGCCTTCCTGACACCAGAGCAGGCTACACATTGAGCCGATGAAAGCGACCAAGGATTCTTGTGCTTCATCCGCACGAAGAGGAAACACTGTCTCACACCCGAGAAGGACGTGATGCAGCCTCTCGATCTTTGTCAATTGCGGACAAGATGCCGGCGTCTTTCGGTCTTGGCTTCGTGGGAGGTGTTGGAACCAAAGGGCTGCCTGTGAACGAAAGTTGCTCTTTGCTTTCTGCCCTGTAGACTCAGGCTTTTCTGCAAACATTGACGCTCTTGCTCTGTTTCTCCATAGGCATGCAGGACTGCAGGCATGAGCTGCAAGGTTCGCCAAAGGACGACTGCAAGGTAAGCTTTCCAAACAGGTTTCGCCCCTCCTTGCCTGATTTTGCAAGATCCACAGCTCCAACAGTCACCTGGACCGTCTACTGACATAAAGTCGCCACAATTGAACTGCTTTGAGTGAGCTTTGTCATATTCTCTCACACACACACACAGACTGGCTACCGGAGGATTAAGGATAAAGAGCTGTGTCTCAAGAAAGCATCGTGGCCCACTGCCGGCGACTAGACTTTCAATGCAGCTGAGCTCTGTGCCGCCTTCTTTTTCTTCGAAAAGAGCCATGACATATCGTTCTTGTTCTGGAGAGCTGGCGTCCTCACCTTTTTGCTGTGGTCTGATGTGATGCTTGGGTCAGTCTTCCATCTGAGATGCACTAAGTTGTGCCCTGACGAGCCAGGCAAGACGGCGGCATCGCTGCATCTCCGAGTCTGCACAGGGCCCTTCGCACGGATGGTCGTGAACACCTTTGCGGCTGCTCCAGTCCAGCGACTCGAGGGACACCGTAACTAGATCCTCTGGCCGGCTGGAGATCCTCAGGATCGAGAATCCATAAGACAAAATCTTCCTAGTCTGGGAAATTCCCAACTATAAATGTTGACACTGTTGAGCCCTCTTTGGAGCCCTCCCAGAGCTCCACTACCAGGCAACCATCTGACACTCATGGCCCACCTGCGGACCACCCAATGTCGGCTCAGATGTTCGCAGAGGCTGCTACAGGGTCTGGCAAAGACGTGGAGCCGGACGGATCCGCAAGTGTGCATGAGTCAAGCGGCATCCTGCGGAACTCAGGGAGCGAGTCCCAAGACGAAATGCACGGCACATCGAACTGCTGCTTCCTGTAAGTTGCTGTACAAATCGTCTTGGCCAGCAGTGCCAGTGCCAGACATTGAAGGCGCTGGCATGACTCGGGCACCTTCTGGCCACTATCTGCCCAGAAAGGCCGTTCTCATGCCGAATGACTTCAACCGGCTGACTCAGAACTGGAGCAGAGTCGGATCATTCGAACTCCTGCGCAACTCTAAGACTGCAAGAGACCGACTTCTTTCGCGTTTACAGCATTCCAGCCTCCTCTGCCACACCAAAACGAATGACAGGATCGTTGTTCAGTTGCCGGGGCCTTGCGACTCGGCCGGTCTGAAATCCGCCAGAACCATCCCGGCAAGACTGCATGAGCTCGTGGGCTCTAAGTTCCAGGCCCATAGCGTGCGCTCGCTCGGGGGATCGGCATGTCCAGGAGCACGGGCTGTCCGGAGCCAGTCTTGGGCTCACGAAAAAACCACTGGACCACTTCGGCCTCGTCCAGCCCGCGACCCCTGAGCAGCCGGAGCAGCAGCTGATGGCAGCTGCAGAGCCACTCGGGAGCCCAGCCTTGAGTCCACCGCAGTGCAGACTGGACGCCAGGGAGGAAATTCACAAAGTATGGCGCGACCTCGTGCAATGCGGTGTTTCTAGCCCTTATTGTGGTGCTCTTCTGTCCGGAATGATGCAGACCAAACCCGGGCCTTCCATCGACAAGCCTTTCAAATGCTTTCTGGCGAGGTACGCTTCCTGCCGATGCCAGAGTGCCAAGTGCCTCCTGCTGTATTGTGCGTCGAGACTGTTGTCCTCGAAGCATGCAAAGCGCAGGACCTTGAAGAGAAATGGCAGAGCTGTTGCACAGCAGGAAGTGAATGTCTTTCAAGTCAAACTGAGAGACACACCAGTGCAGTGCCATGTCCCGCCCATGTAGGGTTCGACGAGTTCTCAGGACAGGTCGCGACACGGACGTGCACTTGCAGGACATCTTGTGAGCTTTCCGTTAAGTCCGCAAATAATGGGTTCTTGGTGATCCCGTCTAAGTTCCCTCCTCATGACAACATATGACGCATGGCGTTGGGCTTTGCGTCAAAGCGCATTGTCAAGAACCTCCCAGCTTCTCATTCCATTACGTGTGCCTCTGGCTGGACCGTGCTCGACGAACACGTGGCTTCCCCATGTTGCACCCAGTCCGAACTTGGGAAGCCTGGAGCTCAGACATCTGGTTTGCAGAGCTATCACCTTGAGCGGACCCGGAAATGCAAGCGTCGTAACCGCGAGTCTATCCCAAAGCGAAAGCCGAGGTCCCCACCGTCATCGGGAGGGACTGTGCCCTGAGCAATTAATTGACACTCGCGAGACTTTTCAGCTCGCCCAAGACTTCCCTTCAACTTCGGGGTTCTTGCGTCCTTGCCCTCGACAATGAAGCACTGCAAGATGCTCGGAGTCTGAGCCTTTCTTTGATGCATCTTGCTACAGTCCTAGAGTCCTATAGGCCAAGGTCTAAGCTCGCAGCGAAAGCTGCGCAATTGAGCAGCTCGAGCCGACATTTCTTCCCATTCGCAGACAGTCCGGCTGCCACGTGCCCAAGCACCTACAAGAAACCTACACTTTTGTAGCCGGTCAAACTGGGTCGAGAAGGGCCTCGCTCGGCTGCAACCGTGGCAGATCGCGCAGAATGAGCGATCTCTTCCAACCTGTCTGTGCAAGGCGACCTGCATGTCGAGCTGTGCGAAGCTCCCTCAGTCTCCGACGGGCATCCTGGGGGAAGGCTGGGCGAGCTACAACGCTGTCCTTCCAAAGCGTCCTGCGCTGAAACGCTGGATCGAGCTGTGTACCGACCAGAGATGTCCCTGCATGTCTATCTGGAAACCACTCAGCCTAGTTCAGATTGCTGGTGCCCTGCAGACTACATGTCTCGAACAATTCAATCACATGATCGCACTCACAAGCGAAAAACTCGTCGTGCGACTTTGAAGCTGTGTCCTCTTCTTGAGTCGCAGCACCTGTCGTTTGAATTTAAGGAAGATGCACACTTTGCAATTTCACCACCCTGTGACTACATCCCATCTCGCTTTGCAGCTGCTTGCGCTTCTTGAGGGTGCAGCGCTGCAAGGGTTGTCTTCAGGAGTCTCTTCGAGAAGTGACATAGCAAAATGACCTCCCTTGCATTCACCTGTGTAACTCAGACCTCGCTATTCATGGTCTGCATCTCCCGAGCACCCAAGCGGTTCTTCAAGTGCAGCTTCAACAAACATGGCAAGCCAAGGTCTTACAGTTATGCAGAGTAATGTCGTAGGGAGGGGATCGAGCGGATGCAACACCAGGATTCACGTGTGAGTCGTCGAAACCCGGCGGGCAAGTGAAATGGCACTCGGCCACTACTCGGAGCTAAAACTGCATGGAGCCTCCTGGAGCAAGATCCCGTTCAATCGTGGCCTCGAGGCATGGCTGAACAAACGCGACTTGCCTGTGCCGTCTGCGTGCCTGTGTTCTCTAACAGCGCATGACTCAAACTCCCTGCCCTCGTAGGCTCTGTGCAGCTTCCTTGTAGCGCGGCGCTTGGCATCCGGGTCGTGAAATTGCACAATGGCGTAGCGCCTTGGCCGGCTCCAGCACTCAGGACTCCGAACACGAGTCAAAGCAGCTGTGTGGGATGCCGGCAAAGTATACGGTGAGGCAGCTTTGCCCACCTTGGCGGTATCCTGGATAATCAAGGCAGGACCCGGTGGCCAGGCGTGTCGGGCATAGGGATCTATGGCGAGCTTACGGATGAAGCAAACTCAACGTAGGCAACAAGCTTCTGCGAACTATCCAAACAGCCTGGGCACACAAGCTTAGGTGTCACCCCGAGAAACTTCTGCGTAGAACGGTAGAGGTGCGAAGCACGAGACGAGAAAATTGTTCTCCTCCGTGGTGGCTTCACTGGCGAGGCCGCCGTCGGGTCTGATCCGCATGGCACTCACGATTGCGAAATGATCGTGATGCTGAGCAAGATGCAAGCAGCGGGGTGCCTGCGGATGGACTCCATCCAGTCTTCCATGCCGTCGCCTGCTCATCTCGACTGGCTCTATGTCAGCATTTATGATGGAGAGACTTAGACAGAGATGATACGATACAAAGTTATGATTCTTGAGGCAGTGGCACAGTTCCAAGTCTTGGACTTCTCCACAGCCGGTGGAAAGAGCTGCACGAATATCAGACTCCTGCTAACAGAATGCACCTGCAATCGGTCAGCGAAATGCAGCGCTTGAAATTGCTAAGCTGCGCACAGTGGCGGTAAGCGGCAGGTTGCTAAGCAAGATGCTTTTCGATGCGTTTGGCGTGTGAGCTGGCCTTGCGACTGTGAGAAGTATAACGTGTAGTCTCACACGCTCTTGACGGCTTGCTTGGGCACAGACTTGTCGGCCAGGTGAGTCCAGGAAACCTCCCGTGCCAGAAGCAGTATACTGGGAGTGTTGGGAGTATCTAAACATCCGGTGCTTCAATTTACATGGGCCTTTGCAAACAACTATGCGACGCGGTGAAACTTAAGATCTTCAAACTCGCACACGTTTCGCAAGAGAAGATCAAAAAAGGCCACTTCCAATCATGGAAGGCAGCTGATCCGAATCTATTCCTGTACACGACGGAAAAGGCAGAGCGCACACGCGAAGGCGCAACGCTTCACAAGCCTCACTTGAGCAAGGCTTTGTACATATTTTGCAAAGTAACATCTTTGTCAAGTTGCTCACGATATTTGTGTATAAAGGAGGCAATGCTGTCGACAATAGCATGCTGTGTTTCGACACGGCTCTTAGCTTGTCCCTGGTGCTCAGTGCGGATGTCTTTGGTGACATCCCGCACTTGCTTCTCGAGTTGGTACTGGCTCTTGGCGATCTGCTGCTGCATTGCATCTGCCCATCGCTCATATGTCATCAATTGCTGCTCGCGCTCAAACTTCTCTTCGTCTATGAGCTTGTTGATCTCCACAACCTCATCCTCCAGAATCTTCTCCTGCGGCACGCCAACGGTACTGTGCTACTCTTCTGCTACTGTTTCAGCACCTAAGCATGTACTCGTCTACAAGACACTCGTGATTCAACTGAGGCGGGTTCCCGCTTGTGATCTTGCAGCTGCCTTTCCCGGGTCTCAGCTGCTAAAGCATCGAAGAGCCGTTGTGACTCATCCCGGATTGGGCCGAGGGTAGACTCGATATGCCGCTTGCGGTCCTCTCGCTGCTGCACGAGAGCCGCCTGAAACAACACGGCGGAAGCGCATGGCTTAAAGATGCCAGGCAGGCAAGTGGGACAGTGCCGTCTGCCTCAGCATCAGTCATACGCACTCCCAGCTCATCCACCACGGCATTCATCCTGGCAAAAGCCTGAGCATAGACTTGCAATGTGCATTACCTTGTGCACCAGAACACCGACCTCGGTCAAATCGCGGCGAAGACCCCGCTCTGCACCAGCGAGCTCGTGGTCGAACTTTGCCTCGGATAAAGTCGCCCAGCGCTTTTTACACCTAGAGCCTGACTGAGGAATGCGACGTGAAGACCAAGCTTGCGGTGTGTGGTCCGGTTGGTGAAAAAACACTCGGCTGACAACAAGGCCGGAGTTGGAGCATGTTGTCGGAAGGCCAAAACTTCGACGTGTCCCATCCCAGTGTCGGATGAGTCGGATGCGTGGACATTTCCACATAGGAAACGTTTGCGAACCAGCCAGCAACAATCGGCGCACTCAGACCTCCGAATCGAGCCTAAACCTGCTACTTACGACGAGCACTGCTTTTCGTCGTGTGGTAGAAGCGCTGTAACACGCCGTTCGGCGACGAAACAGGCGAAACGGCGAGCCGGTGTCGGGGCGCATTCTGCACCCGACCCGCTGCCGTTCGCTGTCCGCCGAAAAGGCCCATTAGGGCGGAGAGGGTGGGTCAAAAGCTGAAATCGGCGATTCGAGCCCGAGTGCTAACGGCGGTCGCCGTAGCCGATTGTTACTGCGTACACACGTGTACTTCACAACAATCGGCGCACTCAGACCTCCGAATCGAGCCTAAACCTGCTACTTACGACGAGCACTGCTTTTCGTCGTGTGGTAGAAGCGCTGTAACACGCCGTTCGGCGACGAAACAGGCGAAACGGCGAGCCGGTGTCGGGGCGCATTCTGCACCCGCCCGGCGCACCGCCTACCCACAAAGCGCCGGCTCAGATGTTGAAGCCCTGCGTCGTCAGGAGCAGCTCGTCGGCCGCCGAGGCTGTGGCAAACTCGATGTCTCTGGCCGCCCCGGCGAAGATCCTCAGGATCTCGTCGTGGGGGGTGTTCGCCCTGGTCCAGCCTTCCCGGCGTGCTCTGGACAAGTCGTGCCTGGATACGGCGTCGGCGATGTTGGCCTTGGACGGGACCCTCTCGAACTCGACGCACCAGCCTTGGTGAGCGGCGAGGGACCAAAACGCCGAGATCATGCCGTTGATCGCCGGGTCTTTGCCGTATCCCTTGGACAGGGCCGCCTGTCCCGCCGTCTTGTCGATGAAGGCGATGATCGACGGCGGGAGGATCGCGGCGAAGGTGGCGAAGGCGGCGAGCTGCACGAAGACCTCCAGCATATAGATGCAGGCCTTCCTCGCCGAGAAGATCTGCACAAACCAGCCCGGCACAACGCCGTGGTCATAATAGACCGCGCCGCCGATTCGGAGGACGTAGCCCCAGCCGTTGGAAGCCCGTTGGGTCGGCGTGGGGTTCAATCCGTCGGGCACGTGTCCTGCCTTGCGCTGTTTCTGCGTCGGCGTACAGGATGGCGAGGTCCATATTCTCGGCGTTGAAGGGGATGAACCTGGGCCGGATCGTCGGGAGGATCTGGTGCAGGGATCTGAGCGCCGCGGCTAGTCCCGGCGAGAGCTGGTCGGCTGACCTGGCCGCCGCGTCCGCCGCGCGAGCATAGATAGCCTTGGTCGCCGCCTTGGCCACAGCCCCAAACGCCGCTTGGGTGAGGAAGGCCACCCTCCCGGCGAGCTTGGACGCCTCGTCCGGGTTGAGGCTGTCCTCGTCGAGGGCTCGGCGGATCTGGTCCATGATCTTCTTGACTCGCACCGGCGTGGGCCTGGGGCTCAGTGTCACCCCGTCGGCGTCCACGTGGAAGTTGACACCCTGCACGACGTGCTCGTCGGCCGGCGGCTGCGCCTTGGACGCCTTCGTCAGGATGCCCAGCTCGGCGAAGAGGTCCTTGTAGGAGTCGGCCGCCGAGTCCGCCATCGCGTCGTCGTCGATGCCGTACGTCGACATAGCGCCCTGTGGCGGCGAGTAGCAGCCCCCGAAGAAGCTGCTGTAGTGCATCGGCGCTTTTCTGTTGAAATTCCAGACTGAGGCCGTCGTGCCGAAGTTCATAGCCAGATGAAACCAGAATGTGACGCCGTGCTTGGTGTGCAGAAACGTCCCGCACTTCGCCGGTCGGCGGACCGGCCACTGCCGAGAGGCATTCAAAAGGTCGTGGCCGAAGACCTTGAGCCGCCGCGAGTCCGCCGCGAGACGGCGAGCCAAGTCGACGAAGGACCCAATGAAGTGATGCGTCGGCAGGTCGGTGACTCTGATCGTCGAGTTGTGCTCCGATCGGCGCCAATCCTCGGCGCGGCGTACCTTCAGGTCACCGTTCTCGTCGGTCTGGCAGACTGGGAAAAGGAGGCGGCGAGGAAGTGCTTGCCGGGCGGAGGTTCCACCAATGTGTCTGCGTCGGTCATGTCAGGTACCGCCGCGGCCGTGGTCCCTTTGAGCCATGACGGCGGGTGTGTTGGTCCAATCACCCGGCGCAACCTCTTCTCGTCGATGAGCTCCTGCAGCAGCTTCTCGGCGTGCTCGTCGGGCTTCCTGGAGGCCACCTTGGCCCTGACATATATAGTCGGCGTTGATGCGCCGCAGCTCGTCGATGTCGATGGGACGCTGGTACCTGCCGTCGTCGCGGGATCTCCATCCCGGCCCCGGCCTGATGTCGCCGAGCATCTGGAAGCCGTCGGTCATGTCCTCCTCGAGCGCGGCGAGGTCGGGGTATTCGAGCCGGCGGAGGAGCTCGAGGAGGACCAGCACCTGTGTTGGCCGGTCCTTGTCCGGCCTGCTGTAGGTGTTGCAGGTCCTGGAGGTACTCTATGTGGGGCCGCGGCGGGGCTGGTCCCATCTGGGGCCCTCCCGGACCCCATTGGTCGGCAAGCCACTGAATGGTCGTCCTCGCCGGCGTCCTGGGAATCTCCGTGATCTTGGCAGCGGCGACCACCGTGTTGACAAGGAGGGCCAATATGATGCGGGGCGCCACGCCCCAGTGCCATCCATCACACGGTAGTCGCAGTCTCCCGAATGACACGGCGTCGGCGAACTTGAGGCCGTCGAGGTCGAAGGCGTCGGCGGCTGCCCGTAGGGTGTCCAAACGGAGCCGGTTCCAACGGCGGCGCAACACCCACGTCCATCTCTCGCCGGCGGGGGTCGTGGGTGATCTCGTCCCAGTCGATCGACGTCCACCAGAGGCGCGGTCGGCCGATCCAGCCGGAGTCCGCCGCATCGGCGAACCCCGGCTCGAGGTCCAGGCGCTGGCGCTTGTTCGCCGCTGCGGCGTCCGCCGGGGTCATCTCGACGTTTTCGACTAGCACACCAATTTAAAGCGGCGAGGCGCGACGAGGTTCCGGAGCTCGGCGATGAAGTCCGCCGTGAAGTTGAAGAGGTATCCTCGGTTGCCGGCGTGCCCTTCTCGATCTCCCACTCGGGAGAAAACTTGGCACGGCGGTGCGGCGAGAAAGATGACCATGCATCCTGCCTCTGGGTCGAGCTCGGCGATCTTCTTCGCCGTGTCCTTGGGGGAGTCCTCCGTGATGTCGCCGCGATGGCGGACGGCGGGGACGTTGTAGTCGGTCCACCTCCCAGGACAGGATGGCCCTTGGTGCACTGATGAGGTCCCAGATGATCCAAGGGCCGGCCCCCACTCCGTCGAACGCCGACAGCACAATGACCTGTCGCCGCCCGGCGTCCGGCTGGAAAGTCTGATTTTCTTCGGCGGCGGTGGGTCGGGTACCTCGACGTCGGGGTCCGTCGCCGAGGCCCCCCGCGCTGTCCCTAGCGGCGACCCTTGGCGGAATCCTGGGTTCCAAGGCCGGGCCTGGTCGTCGTAGCGCTGCTGTCTGCCGCCGCCGGCGGACTGGCCCCACCAGTCCTGGTTCGTCTTCTTGCCGCCGTCCTTCTGGTCCCGCCAAACCTTGAGGCGCGCCGTCCTTCTCGTCGCCGCCGCGGTTGGCCTGGGTCTGCTGGTCCTTGCCGCCGCGTCCCTTGCCGCGTGCCTTGCCGCCTCGGCGGCGTTTGCGGCCGCTGCCTGCGCCCGGTCTGGCTCCTCGTTCTCCTCCGCCGTTTGTCGGCGGGCTGACTGCGGAGCCGTGCAATTGGCGGCGGGGCAGCGGCACCTGTGAGAGGATGACCTCCT